GGGCCACGTACCCACCACAGCCCGGCTGATCCGGAACTTCTCTTAGAAAACCGTCCAGTTTTCTCTTGAAGATGTCCACGGTTGTTCCGGCAATATTTCTTATGCTCGCTGGGAGGACGTTGAACAACCGCGGACCCCTGATGTTTATACAGTGCTCTCTGATTGTGCCTATGGCACCTCTGCTCTTCACTGGTTCAATCTTGCATTTTCTTCCATATCGTTCACTCCAGTACGTTGTTATTTTACTGTGTAGATTTGGGACCTGACCCTCCAGTATTTTCCATGTGTATATTATTTGGTATCTCTCTCGTCTCCTTTCTAGAGAGTACATTTGGAGAGCTTTGAGACGATCCCAATAATTTAGGTGTTTTATCTCGTCTATGCGTGCCGTATATGTTCTCTGCATTCCCTACAATCATCAGACTGTTCTTGTGGTACAATCATCAGACTGTTCTTGTGGTACAATCATCAGACTGTTCTTGTGGTACAGTCATCAGACTGTTCTTGTGGTACAATCATCAGACTGTTCTTGTGGTACAATCATCAGACTGTTCTTGTGGTACAATCATCAGACTGTTCTGGTGGTACAATCATCAGACTGTTCTTATGGTACAATCATCAGACTGTTCTTATGGTACAATCATCAAACTGTTCTTATGGTACAATCATCAGACTGTTCTTGTGGTACAATCATCAGACTGTTCTTATGGTACAATCATCAGACTGTTCTTGTGGTACAATCATCAGACTGTTCTTGTGGTACAATCATCAGACTGTTCTTGTGGTACAATCATCAGACTGTTCTTGTGGTACAATCATCAGACTGTTCTGGTGGTACAATCATCAGACTGTTCTGGTGGTACAATCATCAGACTGTTCTTGTGGTACAATCAACACATTACAATCCCCAAACACAATGTAAAAACAAATGCATATATATACTTCAAAACAAAAGACAAAGATATTGTATTTTTGAACTGGTAGAGAAAAGGGAAGATCAATCCCGTAGTCGCCTATCTTGAGGTTATCCTGAGATGACTTCGGGGCTTAACGTCCCCGCGGCCCGGTCCTCGACCAGGCCTCCTTTTTTATACACACCCCCCCCCCCAGGAGGCAGCCCTTAGCAGCTGTCTAACTCCCAGGTACCTATTTACTGTTAGGTAACAGGAGTATTAGGATGAAAGAAACTCTGCCCATTTGTTTCCGCCTCCACCGGGGATCGAACCCGGAACCTCAGGATTACGAATCCCGAGCGCTGTCCACTCAGCTGTCAGGCCCCTAATATAAGGAACTTACGAAGAGAAAGCGCTAATCCGGTATGACTACATAGCACTTGGAAAGGATACGAGGACAAATGTCTATGGTAGGATGGAGGGAAGAAACGAAATCCAACCACATGGACCGCGGGGGATTGAACGCGGTTCTGCAAGAACAAAAATCCTAGGAATCAGTGAAAGAATATAATTCGCTACACATAAATAAGCACAGTAAAGCTTCAATAATAGAAACAGTGTGTATGACTTTATATAGATACTCAACACAGAAGCTAGGCACAGTGGTATACGTTTTCGACTCACAACCGAGGGGAGGGAACTATCAGAAGAAAGCGCCAAGCCATTACGACTACATAGCACTTGGAAGGGGTCAGGATAAGGATTTGGGATGGGACGGGGAGGAAGGAATGGTGCCCAACCACTTGGACGGTCGGGGATTGAATGCCGACCTGCATGAAGCGAGACCGTCACTCTACCGTCCTATCGCATTCGGGATATGTCCCCGAATGCGACACAAACGACCTGGGCACGTTACCTTTCACCTGATGGGGTAAAATAGGTACCACTGAAGTCAGGCAGCTGTTGTGGGTTGCATCCTGGGCAAGGTCAGCAGTTGGTCAAGACAGGGACCTCGATCAGTCTATGTAGAGGCTTCCTGTCCTCGAATACGGGAATTATGGGACATAATCACAACGTGAATTAGCAGATTCCGGTTAAAATACCGGAATATACCATTCAGATAGGGCAACCCTGCTATCCTTGTAAGACAGAATACCGGACCTGGCCACACATCTCATGATAGCGAAGCTTAATGAACCTGATCCAGTGCCTTTCATCGAGACTCTTCAACACAGAAGAGATGTGGGTAATTGTATGCACTTTACACTGTCTACAAAATCCATACCTCCCACTTGGCTTCTCTACACCTCCCTCCCTTAAGAATAACACTGAACAAGAGGTACAACTGGCGACAATGAGATAGGCGTTTCGGTTACACCAACAGAGCAAGTCTGATGTTTCCGTTACACCACCTGACCAAGTTCGATGTTAATTGAACACCAACAGAACAAGTTCGACGAACTCTTCATCAAAAATAAGCAAAATTGTTAAACTTACTAACACAATTATTGCTACTGTTCAAACATCATTTAAATACTTAGCTAATAATAACAAAATGGAATTCGATACATCTCAAGCAGAGATGCTTTTCAAAGTATATCTGTGGGGGAAACATTGGAATTCTAGCTTTCAGCAGTTAAAGTAACTAAGACGTGATGTGGAAAAATAATAAGAATTACATTACACACAGAAATCACAACAGCGTGATATATCAAATGAACAAATCCACAAGGGCTTTGATGAGGGTTCGAACCTACGTCAGGAATGATCCCCCTTGTGGATTTGATCAAGAATTACACTTCCTAATAATAATAATAATAATAATAATAATAATAATAATAATAATAATAATAATAATAATAATAATAATAATAATAATAATACAATTAATAATATTAATGACAGTAACAAGATGAGGATGGATGGATTCTGAAGTGGGGTGGAGAATCTGGAAGGAGATGGGGGCTCCGGAAGGGGGGTTGAGGGTCCCGAAAGAGTTGAAAAAAGGTCTAGAAGATCCGGAAGAGAGTTAAGGATCCCGAAGGGAGTGGAAAGAATAGCGGAAGTGGAGGAGATGAAAGAAGCAGCAGCGGTAGAAGGAAGGGATGAAGACAGTATTAGGGAAGAGGACCTCGTAAAGAGAGTGGCAGGCAGCGAGAAAGAGAAGGTAGCAGTAGAGGAAATGCAGCAAGTAAAGGAAAGCAGTAGGGTAAAGAAGGCAATATCAAGATAATGACATCAGTTAAAGAAAATTCAGAATCACTTACTTCTTTTTATCTCGACACTGTCAGACACTGTTGTCAAGACAGTGATGACAGCCAACCTCCACATGACGCCTCTTCTCTGGGGGTGGAGATGAGGTCACTTAAGGTAGCAACGGATGTTTCCGTCACCTGCGACCCTACACACAAACCCAGAGGTCACAGGTGGGTCCAGATCCACCCCCGAATGTCACAGATGGGGCTAGCTCACCACGGAGGTCACAGGAAGAAACGGAGGTCACAGGAAGAAACGGAGGTCACAGGAAGAAACGGAGGTCACAGGTAACGGAAGATTGTCCAGATAAAGGAGAATACTGCAGGTCAAGGTATTGGGAGGTTTGGTCACGATGGAGAACCCATGACACACTCGATTATGTAGAGAATCTCTAAATCTTAACTGTACCATAAACCTACACTTTCCACATGTGCCATTTTGGAGTATTTAACTTTAGTTGAACACCTGTAAATCACCATTGATCTGCATGCTACAAGTAACAATTTATCTTCTATGTGTATGTTTGTTGTCGCTCATCAAGCGCTTGGGTCGTGCGATGTTAGTTCCATGTCTGCTACTGGATGTTGTGGGAGATCTTCTCAGGCTGCAAGTGGAGACACGAAAATTTGCACCCACTGAAGGAAACTTTCACAGTTTTCGTATAATTCTTGAGTCCCACTCACATCACACTTAAAAGCATACAATTCACTGCTTTCATACACCGAAACAATAATGGGCCTTCGATGTAAACACCGTCTGTATGTGGGTTCGCTTAGCAAAGCACATCACCTCGTATAGTGGTGGTGTCAGTGAGAGGCAGGAGGAGACAGAGGCACATACCTACTCGCCTCGCTGTCCTGAGACACACTGAGCCGCTCAACAGCCACTGGTGCTGCCTCGCTCTCTACCATACAAACTCTCCCTACACACTCACGCACCCCACTTTCACCGCACAAAACTCTTCTTTCAGTACTATATCTCACTGGTCGGCTAAGGCCCACTCCCCCGTTGGTCGCAATACGCAAATTCAACGCTGATGATGATGATTCGGCGTTGAATTGGCGTTGCTCTTGGGGCATTGTCCTCGTTGGGGGTGTCATTATACTTTGTGTCTTACTTCTTCATTCTATAAATTTTCTTGAATGGTCAGAATTTTTTTTTCCAGTAATTTCCAAGTGAGGATGAATTAATTGGCCATTAATCCAAGATAACTGCCCCATAAAACGCAGATAAATTGTCAAGAAGTTTATTCGGGTCTAAGTTTGTTCTATATGACTATTATTTCCTTCATTCTGAAGAGGTCAGTGTGATCAGGGATTTTGTTAGTGTTCTTTGTGTGTTTTGAGTTTTTCAGGGATGCAGGTGTGGTTGGTCTATATATGGCAGGTGTAGTTAGTCTATATATGGCAGGTGTGGTTGGTCTATATATGGCAGGTGTGGTTGGTCTATATATGGCAGGTGTGGTTGGTCTATATATGGCAGGTGTGGTTGGTCTATATATGGCAGGTATGGTTGGTCTATATATGGCAGGTGTGGTTGGTCTATATATGGCAGGTGTGGTTGGTCGTGCACCTCACACCTGTCCGAGTGTGTGTAAGTGCACGTTTTTTTAGTACATTAATATCTATAAGTTATATTTATTCTTATTAATTTAAAACAAAGTCCCATTAATTTGTAATCCGTTAATTAATCCATTAATCCAAGCACTCCATTAATTTTAATCAGTTAATTGTTTATCATTAAATCTCCTTAATTTTTATTACAATAATTATCTTAACTAACTTTATCTTCAATTTTACTAGACTTTTAAATGTTAACAAGAAAGGTAAATAGGGAAATAAAATACGTGAAGAATTATTACTTTCTAATATCATCTACATTCCAAATTCTAGACATTATATAGAATTTACACACATAGAATTTATATAGAATTTACACACATAGAATTAATCTGACAAATTGTAATACCAACAATCACCATAACAATGTAGAATCAATCAAAATATCACTTTTACTTCTTCACTGCATAATATTCTTTAGGTAGTTATCCCTATCGGATGTCCTATATATATATATATCTCAGTTAATTTTACTCTCACTCTCATTTCCTGCTTAGTTCTTCTATTCATAAACAATAATTTCTTCTCTTGGGCCTCGCTGAGTTCACTACAGAATATTTAACTTTATGGACGCTTCTCTCAAAATCAGATACACTCTCATTCTTATCATTCTTTCCGAAGACTGTATGATCGCCCAAGTCCCCACCAGGAGAGATTTCATTCTGTTGAAGTCGGAACAGACGACGACTGCAGTGATATCTAGATGTCGTTGAGCTCATGAAGAGGGAAGAGGAGGTAGAGTATCTTGTCACCTTTTGTTTCCTGAACGGGAAAGAAAGGATGGGATAGCTAGTAGACGTTGAGCTTCAAGAAAGGGAAGGAGGAGGGATATCTTTTCGAAGTCGAGTTCCAAGGAAATTGAAGGCGATATGAAGTCGACACAGAGCCTCATATAGGGGAGATAACGTGGTATCTAGCCGGCGTTGTCAAGCCATCAAACGGGAATAGAAGACGGAATCTAATCGACGATCTACTGTCTGAAGAGGATGGAAGGCGGGTATCTAGTCAACGGTGAGCTTCCTGAAGGATCCCTCGATGCCAAAGAGATCAGCGGAGGTCTTGGCCTTGCCGGGTCGCTTGGACTCGTCAACTCCGTACTTCTCGTCCTCCAGGAGCCAGTCTCGTCTGGCGTCGACCCGCTCCAGCCAGTACTCTGTAAACACCGTTTAGACTTCAAATTTGTGTAGGGGTGAGTGGAGAGGTTGGAGGGAGGAGGAGAAGGCGGGATGTTAGTGTTGTTGTTGCAATGGTAATGGTATACCACAGTGGTAATGGTATGTATTCCGAGGTGGTAATGGTATGTATTCCGAGGTGGTAATGGTAAGTATACCACAGTCGTAAGGGTATGTATTTCACGGTGGTACCTGTATGAATACCACGGTGGTAAAGGTCTATATACCACGGTGGTAATATTAAGTATACAGCAGTGACAATGGCAGGTATGCAAGGTGTAAATGTGTGTATACAACATGGTTTAATATATACACCACCGAGACGTGTGTATCTGTAACTGAAACATAATATCTCATATATGTGACGTATACACTAAATGCCCAACACATTTTTATTGCATTTGAATCTTAACATTTCCAAAATATAAACATAATGTACAAAGGATCTAACAGAAATGACCACTTGGCACTGCTGGAGGCGCCTGTGATTGGTTCTCAGGAGCACGAAAACATAACTACCTACTTGTTATCTCCTCGACAGTGCCATTGGTGCCTCCATACTCGACAGGGAGGACCTCCTTGGGCACCTGCCTGTGAAGACTCTCCAGATCATTCCCGTGGAGGTGAACCTGGGTATACAATGAACCTTGTTAACCACCTGTAGTCTTTATTCAATAAACTAAAATGAATCAAACTCACAAGATCTCCGGTTGGAACACAAGGGATGATCAGCCACATGATGGGACGCAAACAGCTCATCATTTATTCCATTTAACCCAAAAACACATTTTGGCAAACAACTCAGACATTATTGTTTGCAAATATTTAGGATTCTTTGAAAGATTCACGAGAGCGGGGAAATGGGGCAAAAGATGATGCAAAACAAATAGTTTTTAGAACGTTGAAGCAAGGATTGTAAATAGTTCTGCGAAACACTGTTCAGAGACTGCACAACACTGTTTCAGTAACTTCAAGACACTGTTCAAAAACTGCAAGACAAAAGTTATCTGCTGACTTACCCTCTTTTTCATCTTTTCTTTCATAAATGACTTGAATATATTGAAGACTGTGTCGAACGCAGCTGGCGTGTTGATGTAGTTGAGTCCTTTAGGACGCATCGGATAGCCTTCCTGCAAGGATACAAATCATGACATAAATAAGACAGCTAGCCACCGGAATTGCTAACCTAACCTAACCTAGCTCTACCCAACCAATCTAATTTAGCCTAACCAAATTATATATGCAGTTATAATAGTTAGAAAAGGATCTATGTACGATTTGACACAGCTCATTCTGAAAGTAGACATTGTCAATACACATCTTGGTATCGTCATTTATTAATGTAAATATATCATTATTTCAGTTAAATTTATTTATTAATTTATAAATAAATTTATTATTATTAACAATTAATAATTATAATGCAAATATACAAATAATAATAATAATAATAATAATAATAATAATAATAATAATAATAATAATAATAATAATAATAATACAAATACTATGGCATTAAGTCAAACTGTATTAGTCTCTACACCCCTTAAAGATGTACACTTCCAACCACCCTTACAGCCCTCTTCCAAGCTTGCATTGATCAGCAAATCTGGCCACTATCATAAATGAAGGCCGGACGTCTTGGTTATCCTCGAGAAGATAACCAAGATATCGGTAGATAGCTCTTGGCTAATTTTACTCTCAGTCGTCGGGAAGACTTTTTAAAATCTTTGTTCAAAGACTATAAAAGCACCTTGATAATAATTCCTTAAAAATATAATAAGCAATTTCAAAGAAGGGATTTGGCGGTAAGTCCATAAGAATTAAAGCACCTGCAGAAGGCCTAGTGACCCAAACGAGGCAGCTCCTATTTGTTTCATACCCAAACTGTTTCCTACACATATATATCACGATATACACTATAACTCTACGACCCGTCAGAGGATTCGAAACCGGGCCGCCAGGGGTCTCCCCACCAACAGCAGTGGTAAGGACTAAAGTAACTTCTCCCTATATATACACCGACAAGAGAAATACATCTCACGATATACACATCCCAGGTTAGATGCCTAAATGTAAGGTTCTAATATTATCTTCATTGTCCTATTTGTTTCATTTCTTGCCTGTTTACAACGATTATTAAACTCTCAGATCTCTTTTCATTCAGTCTGGAAATGTAAACATTAACCCGACGATATCTATGGTAAATAAATTATTATTGTTTGCACGTAAGAAAGTAAGAATGTGAAGCATAGCAACGTGCATGTTGGTCCACACCTGGCAGGTCTTCCTTAAAGCCACACCTCTCTCCCCACCCCTCACCTTTCACCATGTACTAGTCTGTTACTGAAACCTGTCAAATTGTTTGTCACAGTAATGCTAGCTGGCAGACCAATCCACTCATTCACAACCTATTTCCACATCAGTTCGTCCCTTTATAACTCCTAAATCGAAACCTCTCAACCTTGTACTCGTCATTGCGTGTTCTGACCTGCTTAGATAATTCCAGAACCTGTTTACAATTCCCTTCTTTATGCCTCTATATCTCACTCGAAAACTTCGATCATATCCCTCTTGTTCTGCGACTCTCAAGCGAATGCAGACGGACACACACTATAGTCTATTTTCTACGAAAGGATCCCACTTAACCTTGCAAGCACATCTCTACTACACAATGGGCACAGAATCCAAGAGTGGCGTTGAGTTCAACGTTGAATCAACGTTAATTCAACGATGATGACGTTGATTTGGCGTCGCTCTTGTGCCCACTGGGTAGCTATCAGAAGTACTTTGTACCACACTCGAAATCTCAACCTGGATGATGGTGGCAATCATCTTGATGACTGTTGGCTTTATCTGGGCGGCGTGCTGGAAAGTCATGGTAGAGACGTCTATGACTATCTCCACGCCCGTGATGGAGGCGGATTCGTCCTCGTCAAACAGCAAGTCCAACATCAGAAAGATGGTCCTCGCGACGTCCGTAACGTCCGTTGTGTTTGGGTCCCTTGATGCCGGACGGGCCAAAATCACTCTCGAGCCTCTCACTGAGCGCCCGTTCAACGGCAGCACGAGTCTGATGCACACACACACACACGCGACTCTCAGTATCCTCAGTTGTTTAATTAACCAACACGTTAAACAAGACTTAGGACTCATGACACGAGCCTAAATATGTTTACCATACTTAGGTTTACAACAAGAAGCTAATCAAAACAAAAAAATATGTTTAACATAGAATCTGTCTATATACCACAGGATAACGAACGATGTAGAAACACGCAGTCAGCTTCCAGATAACTTAACATTGTCAGCGCCCAGATAACCCAACACTGTCAGCACGCAGATAACCCAACACTGTCAGCACGCAGATAACCCAACACTGTCAGCACCTAGATAACTTATTACAGGAACCCTTAATGACATTCAACCCTTTAGAGAGAAGTACTCACGGACAAATATATTTGTCTTTCCAACGATGAAAAAAGTCTCGTAATAAGCATAAAAAGCTCTACAATTTTGATAAAAACGTACACAAAAGTCTCCTAGATAATATAAAGCTTTATCAAAATTCTCTTTGTTTCCTTCTGAGGAAAAATACCTGCAACACCATGGCAGCCTTCTTAACGAAGGCGGGCTTTAAGACGGCTATGTGTGAGAAGCCCAGAGACCGACAGTCTTCTATGGTTACCATAGCGGTGACGCTCGCCTGCTCGTCCTCCTCCATCCACACCTCTATCACGGCCAAGGTAGCTCTCATCAGGTCGCTCACCGGGGCCTTGGAGGGGTCGTACCGCCCCCAGCGAGTCAAGACGACCCTGCGGCCCTCTTTGTCATAACCCAGTAGTGGTAGACAAGGGCTGTGAGGAGTAAGATGGACGCATGCCAGCATCACCCAGGCATTCTGCCTGACCGTCACAAAGTTGGGAAAACGGAGGATCACAGCCACGTTTTTCACTTCACATCAACAGGGGAAAACGTTACCCCACATAACAATAGTCCTGACATATGAGAATTTCCCACACATCACTACGCTGGATCATAGTCCTGATCAGTATGAACCTCACCACATCACAGTACACTCGACCAGAGACAGCCTTGATCCATAAGATTCTCACTGCAAAGGACAACAACCTTGAGCTACTCTAACCTTACCACACACAGCAATACATAGCACAGAAGCCCTGACACAGCATCACTACCCGCGGCTCAGCTACGAGCTTTACAATCCATGCAACACAGCAACTTGTCCTCAGGGAGGTGGTACCCTGGGGGTAATCACTTTGAAACCACTACGTAATTAGTGCTATGCTAGACTCTTGTGAGGCTCCTGCAGTTAAAGTAGTTAACACCACACTCCTCCCAGCCCTCCCTAAGTACGAGGTGATTTACAGATAATTAGTAAACTTTAAATACATCCGTAGAGATAATTAGGTTTCGTTCTCCCCCCCCCCTTCACACCCACCAACGCCACCATTTTAGTTTTCCCATATCAACATATCTCGTTAGTTTTTCACTCTATGTCTCGTTCCTCCCATTTTTACGTCTGGATCCACTTCAAGTACGTATTACTCCACTTCAACTACGTCTGGATCCACTTCAAGTACGTATTACTCCACTTCAACTACGTCTGGATCCACTTCAAGTACATCTCGCTTTATCCTCTTTGCGTCTCACCCCTTATACGTCCAGTCTCTCATCATGTACGTGTTATTAACGTTGTTACGACACCTACATATCTGTTTGCCATACTAAAGCAATAAACCTTCATTTTCCTGGCTTCGGGGGGACAGAACAGCAATATGTATAAATAACAGTTGAGCCGACTTGGAGAAAAGTTCTAATTTAAACACATGGCTCACGAAATATATGTTATTAACGTTATCACATAAATATTATTCTAGCAAGCGTGGTTTACAAAAACCAACATTACTGTGTAACAGATATTGGGGACCTCACGTCCCTGTATCATTGTAAGTGCACTGAAAGCCGGTTGGAGTATGAGTACTACTTGGTTTTGGACTTGAGCTTCAGGCCAATCATCCGCGTGTTATTTAAGAATATCAACTTCTGGAGGGTTATTAAGGTCAATTAAGCTCTGGGGGGTTATTAAGGCCAATTAACCTCGAGAGGGTTATTAAGATCAATCAGCCTCTAGAGGATTATTAAGGCCAATCAACCTCGAGAGGGTTATTAAGATCAATCAACCTCTAGAGGCTTATTAAGGCTAATCAACCTCTGGAGGATTATTAAGACCAATCACCCTCTAGAAGGTTATTAACGCCACCATAAGAGAAACGGACAACTAGTAAGTAAAATCTAGTCCTGAACATAGTCCAAGACATAAATAAAATTTCAGTGTATATACACCGAAAATTGGTATACATCTCTCAGAGTATAGATATAAAAAAAAATGTAAAACACCACTAACTTACAAGACGGCTACTTAAAAGTGATGCGTTAGCACCTTTGTTCTCGACTCACAATCAGTGATCCCGGGTTCGAATCGCCGACAGAGGCAACCCAGCCCGTCCTCCAAATAAAGACCCAAAAGTGATTCCGTGCACCCGCCAAACCCCCTGTTTATGAATGAAAAACGGTTTCCACACGACTCACAACTAATTTCGTTCGAACACTTTCGGAACAAGTGCTTCACTGACGAAATTTGTTCAAACCACAACGCTGTAAATGCTTCACCCACGTACTACAAATACAAATAATCGCCAACAGAACTTAAACACCTAACCTAAGCTAACCAATGCCTATATATGCACAACATATTAATATATTATAATATTAATTTATATTTGAGAAAATTCCCGTTTTGAATGAACATCATGAACAAAATTATGACTGCGTATGTGGTGTCGACCGCTGCATGTAATGGACTTGAGTCGTGGACAGGTTGAACTGTTGTGTGTTTGCATCCTGAGTTGCAAGAAGCATGCATAAATATGTACATACAAGAGGGAACATATATAAATATGTGACAATGTGCTATATTAAATGTTGATAATCCTATCCTCATTATACTCTGCAATATTCAGAACTAAAAGTCACATCATTTACTTCACAACGACAGACAACCTCAAATTGTGTGAGTTAGTCCCATTTTCTACTTTCATTTTCTTTGCGTGTGAGAAATAGTATTTAAGCATACAGATTCACCCAGATTCACCAGAAGAAAAGCCTTGTTTTGTCAACAAGTGCTTCCTTTCATCAATGAACGATGTATTGATGTTATTCTCTATTTTATTCTTATTTAATATTGAGTACATGGCTGCAGCATTGTCTAAATTACAGCTATCGTAAACTGTAGTATAAATGTCCACATCATTTGAATTCTGTATTTTATTTGCCTTCCTGGTAAAATCTGAAGGTGCTGAAACCTTCCGGGCATACCTAAAAGAGAGCGGAAGCCTTGTGGATAATACCTGGTAGAGTGTGGAAGCCTTGTGGATAATACCTGGAAGAGTGTGGAAGCCTTGTGGATAATACCTGGAATAGTGTGGAAGCCTTGTGGATAATACCTGGAAGAATGTGGAAGCCTTGTGGATAATACCTGGAATAGTGTGGAAGCCTTGTGGATAATACCTGGAAGAATGTGGAAGCCTTGTAGATAATACCTGGAAGAATGTGGAAGCCTTGTAGATAATACCTGGAAGAGTGTGGAAGCCTTGTGGATAATACCTGGAAGAATATGGAAGCCTTGTGGATAATACCTGGAAGAGTGTAGAAGCCTTGTGGATAATACCTGGAAGAGTGTGAAAGCCTTGTGGATAATACCTGGAAGAGTGTAGAAGCCTTGTGGATAATACCTGGAAGAGTGTGAAAGCCTTGTGGATAATACCTGGAAGAGTGTAGAAGCCTTGTGGATAATACCTGGAAGAGTGTGGAAACCTTGTGGATAATACCTGGAAGAGTGTAGAAGCCTTGTGGATAATACCTGGAAGAGTGTGGAAGCCTTTTTGGCGAAGGTAGGCGTGAAGGCTGCCACGTGAGAGAAGCTGAGACAATCACAGTCCTCAATCATCACTAGGCCCGTCACGCTCTCCACTTCGTCCTCTTCCAAACACACGTCAATCACCAGCGTAGCGGCCCTCATCAGTTCGTTTACCAACACGATGGAGGGGTTTATCCGCCCCCAGCGAGTCAAGATGACCTTGCGACCCTTGTGGTCATAACCCGGCAGTGGCAGACATGTTCTGTGAGGCCGTATTTGCAAAATCTTGTGTAAACGAGATGTTTGCTTTCTCGCGTGTTGCAATAAGCTCCAAGAAGCATTTTTAAACAAATGTACAATTTACTGCGGATGACAACAACGAAAGTGGGATGTTTAGTTAAAGTTTCTAAGTTCTGCGAGAGCTGTTCCACATATTACAATATAATCCCAACGACCGTGGAGCCACACATCACAACACAGTCCCAACGACCGTGGAGCCACACATCACAACACAGTCCCAACGACCGTGGAGCCACACATCACAACACAGTCCCAACGGAAATCGTTACCCATATCACCATACATTCCCACGTGAACCTCACCATGGTATATATATAGTCACTGTACATAGTTCAGTTTAGATTAAGCTTATTTAGCTTAGATTATTCCCACCAATATCAAGGTTTTGCAAGATAACAGAGAAAAAACCGGCATGGGTAAGACTTGTGGCCTCATCTATCCTGGCCTCCCTGGACATCTTGATCAACAAGTCTGAGGACGAAACGTTTAAGATTTAACCGTCCTTGGAGGAAATTCTCTTGAAGGAGAGGAGGGAGCCACAAGAACTTACCTGCCAGAGCACCATAGACTTCTTAACGATTGAGGGAGTGTAGGCCGTCATATGAGCCAAAGTCATGTCGTGAGCGTCGCCGATCATAACAGTACCAGTTATGGTCGACTGTTCGTCTTCGTCAGCCAAAATGTCAGAGATCATAAGGGACGCCTTCATAATATCATCCACAGAAAATTCTTTAGGGTCGTAGACTCCCCAGCGGCCTACGAAGACCTTCCGTCCCAAGTGGTCGTATCCAGGGAGGGGAAGCATCAAACTGTAATATTTCAGTTAGCTTCATATGTCTCACAGACCACCACTGGGTTATAGTATATTCCGGTCGGTATCCCATAAGAATATGCACCAAGTTAACTTTATATATACATGCAATCCTTTATCCATCTTATAGGGATCAAAGCCAAACTTAATAATTCATAAATATATTCCCTGAGCCTCTGCAAGAGAAATGTCACCACAAACAATCACAAATATTTAACATACCACCAAATCAATTCCGCCACCAAAGCTGTTGAGAAATCATCAAAGCATCACTAAAAGAACACAAAGAATTTTAGTCAACAGCTACAGATCACAGAGCAAATCAAACACATACAATACCTGCTGTTATATTTAAGCATTGTTCTACCACCACTAAACACTAAATCATTTGCTAGGGGGAGATATTCGAACTGGTTATATGCCGAGCCATCGGAGACTTATAATACAAATTGCCAACTTTCTTAGAACACACATTAAGTTACTATACTCCCTCGCACTTATGGGAACAGGTGGAGTGTTGAACAGTGTGAAGCAGCACACAGAAATCATAATAGCGTGATGCATCAAATGAACAAATCCACAAGGGCCATGACGAGGATTCGAATCTACGCCCGGGAGCACACCAGACGCAGAAATCTATGTATGCTTTTTCGCGTTATGCAATAAGCACCTAGAAGCTTTTTTAAACAAATGTATAATTTACTGCGGATGACAACAATGAAAGTGGGATGTTTGGTTAAAGTTGTCAAGTTATACGAGAGTTTTTTCACACATTATAACCCAATCCCAACGACCGTAGAGCCACGCATCACAACACAGTCCCAACGGAAATTGTGCCCAATATCACTGTACAGTCCCACGTGAACATCACCATGGTATATAGGTACTCGCTTGACATAGTTCAATTTATATTAAATTTAGTTAGTTAAGATTATTCGCACCAGTATCAAGATTTTGCAAGACAATTGCTGAGAAGAAAACCGCGTGGGTAAGAGTTGTGACCTCATCTATCCTGGCCTCCTTGAACATCTTGATCAACAAGTCTGAGGACTTACTTGCCGCGAAACGTTTAAGATTTAACCGTCCTTGCAGGAAATTCTCTTGAAGGAGAAGAGGAAGCCACAAGAACTTACCTGCCAGAGCACCATGGACTTCTTCATCATTGAGGGAGTGAAGGCGGCTACGTGAGCCAGAGTCATCTTCTCAACGTCGCCGACCATAACAGTACCAGTTATGGTCGACTGTTCGTCTTCTTCAGTAGAAATATCAAGGATTGTAAGGCACGCCTTATTAATCTCATCCACGGAAACTTCTTTAGGGTCGAAGTCTCCTGCTCGGTTTAAGTAGACCTTCCGTCCCAAGTGGTCGTATCCAGGGAGGGGAAGCATCAAACTGTAATATTTCAGTTAGCTTCATATGTCTCACAGACCACCACTGGGTTATAGTATATTCCGGTCGGTATCTCCTTGAGAATATGCGCCAAGATAAAATTTTATATACATGAAATTCTTTATCCATCTTATAGGGATCAAAACCAAACTCAACAATTCATATATTCTCTGAGCCTCTACAAGAGAAATGTCACCACAAACAATCACAAATATTTAACATACTACCAAATCAATTCCGCCACCAAAGCTGTTGAGAAATCATCAAAGCATCACTAAAAGAACACAAAGAATTTTAGTCAACAGCTACAGACCACACAACAAATCATACACATACAGTACCTGCTGTTACATTTAAGCATTGTTCTACCACCACCAAACACTAGATCATCATTAGCGAGGGGGAGATATCTGAACTGGTTATATGCCGAGCCTTCGGATTATACTTATAATACAAATTGCCAACTTTCTTAAAACACACATTAAGTTACTATACTCCCTCGCACTTGTGGGAACAGGTGGAGTGTTGAATAGTGTGGATGACCATTGCCAGAGGTGAAGAGAGAATCATCATAGCCATTTTGTTTTAGCAATGTGGGTCACGAGATAATATGGACACAAGCCCAGCACGTGAGTCCCGTCAAGACTTAGCAGCTGGAGCGAGGACCGTCCAGGCCAGATTCTTGAAGCAATTTTTACCAGGAAGTTCAGAAAAGATAAATCTATGTTGTCCCATCAATGAGGCACAATTAGAGTGATAGTCACCCTAGTCCAGTTGTTCCATCAATGGGCCCAAGAAAAAGGAAAAAGTTGAACTCAAACGAATGAGTCAGATCATAATTGTAACAGCTATTGAGTGAAAATTGGCATAATTTATTTTTATTTTTCAATAAACAAATTAAAATTGTATTTACCTAAATTTCTGTTCATTTCTCAGAAAATCAGAAATGCATCTGATTCGCTGAACATTTTAAATGAAAGAATATATAAGGAAACGATGATTTTTATATTAACATCAACTGCGGTTGACGTTAAATTTGTAAATAAAGGACAAATAAATTTTACCAACTGTGCTTTTCTCAAGCTAAACGAAATTTCTTTCATCCCAAACCTGTTTCCAACACTAGTACCACTGTGTTGGAAACAGGTTTGGGAAATCTATGTATGCTTTTTCGCGTTATGCAATAAGCACCGAGAAGCTTTTTTAAACAAATGAATAATTTACTGCGGATGACAACAATGAAAGTGGGATGTTTGGTTAAAGTTGTCAAGTTATACGAGAGTTTTTTTCACACATTATAACACAGTCCCAACGACCGAGTAGCCACGCATCACAACAGTCCCAAACGAAAATCGAGCCCCATATCACTGTACAGTCCCACCAATAAAAAGGTTTTGCAAGACGATTGCAGAGAAGTAAACCGCATGGGTAAGAGTTGTGACCTCATCTATCCTGGCCTCCCTGGACATCTTGATCAACAAGTCTCAGAACTTACTTGCCACGAAACGTTTAAGATTTACCCGGCCTTGGAGGAAATTCTCTTGAAGGAGAGGAGGGAGCCACAAGAACTTACTTGCCAGAGCACCATGGACTTCTTAACGACTGAGGGAGTGTAGCCCGTCATATGAGCCAGAGTCATCTTCTCAACGTCGAGGACCATAACAGTACCCGTTATGGTCGACTGTTCGTCTTCTTCAGCAAAAACAGTGAGGATTGTAAGGCACGCCTTATTAACCTCATCCACGGAAACATCTTTAGGGTCGTATTCTCCTGCTCGGCTTAAGAAGACCTTCCGTCCCAAGTGGTCGTATCCAGGGAGAGGAAGCATCAAACTGTAATATTTCAGTTAGCTTGATATGTCTCACAGACCACCACTGGGTTATAGTATATTCCTGTCGGCATCTCCTTGAGACTATGCGCCTAGTTAAAATTTTATATACATGCAATACTTTATCCATCTTATAATGATCGCAAACAAACTCAACAATTCCTATATTCTCTGAGCTTCTACAAGATAAATGTCACCACAAACAATCTCAAATATTTAACAAACTACCAAAACAATTCCACCACCAAAGCTGTTGAGATATCATCAAAGCATCACTAACAGAACACATCAAGAATTTTAGTCAACAGCTACAGACTACACAACAAATCATACAGTACCTACGTTACATTTAAGCATTATTCTACCACCGCCAAACACCAGATCATTATCGAGGGGGAGATATTTGAACTGCGTTATATGCCGAGCCTTCGGAGACTTATAATACAAACAAATTGCCAGCTTTCTTAAAACAAGCATTGGCAGGTTACTATACTCCCTCGCCCTTGTGGGAACAGGTGGAGTGTTGAACAGTGTGGAGGAGCATTGCCAGAGGGGAAGAGAGGACCATCTTAGCCATTTTGCTTTATACAAGGTAGGTCAGGAGATCGTACGGAAAAAAGCACGTGTTGACCAGATCACACACTAGAAGGTGAATGGATGACGACGTTTCGGTCCGTCCTGGACCATTCTCAAGTCGATTGTCGAGAATGTCACAATCGACTTGAGAATGGTCCAGGACGGACTGAAACGTCGTCGTCCCTTCACCTTCTAGTGTGTGGTCTGGTCAACATACTTTAGCCACGTTATTGTGACTCATCGCCTGCAAAAGCACGTGAGTCCCGTCAATACTTAGCAGCTGGAGCGAGAACGATTCTGGCCCGATTCCTCGAGCAATTTTTACCATGAAATGGAGAAAAGCTAATTCTATATTGTTCCATCAATATGGCACCAATAGAGAGATCGTCACCCTAGTCCGGTTGTTCCAGAAATGTGTCAACCGAAGGAAGAAGAAAAGTTGAAATCAAACGAATGGTTCCTTTGACGGTCCACACTCTAAAGCAGAATGAAACAGCCGAATAAGTGAAAAATTGCATAGTTTATTGGTTATTTTCCAATAAACTAATTAAATTTGTATTTTAACCAATTTGCTGTTCATTTATACAAAAATCAGAAATGCATCTGTTGCATTAAACATTTTCAATGAAGTTACATGTAAGGAAATGAGTATTTTTAAATTAACACCAACTGCGGTTGACGATTGATAGAGCGATCTTTTGGGGACCATTTTTCTTGGTTTGATAAGGCATTAATGAAAGTGTATCAATCACACATGACATGTATACTCCCGTGTTAGACTTGTTGTTAGACTCTTGTTGTTAGACTCGTTAAGTTACTTTCATTGCTCGACTTTTGTTGTTAGACTCTTGTTGATAGACTATTGTTGGCAGCTTCGATGACCTTATCTTATCGCTGACGCCAGCTTTGTCGGCACTGTTAGCTACACGACGTTGAAGTCCTCGTATAAAAAAAAACGTATCGAACTTCCACACCTGGCAGCCCTTATTCCCGATGCATCTGTCCGCCCTTAATCCCTATGTACCTGCTAGCCCTAAGCCCCGGAAAAGTGTGGAGGAGCTACCTACCAGCGCTACCTAGGGCGCACCTACCAGCGCTACCTAGGGCGCACCTACCAGCGCAACCTAGGGCGCACCTACCAGCGCTACCTAGGGCGCACCTACCAGCGCAACCTAGGGCGCACCTACCAGCGCTACCTAGGGCGCACCTACCAGCGCTACCTAGGGCGCACCTACCAGCGCAACCTAGGGCGCACCTACCAGCGCTACCTAGGGCGCACCTACCAGCCCTTATCCCCTACGTGCTTGTTGTTACCCCTTATCCTTGGTGTACCTACCACCCCTTAGCCCAGACGTACCTGCCAACCCGTAACCTCCAGCGTACCTGCCAGCCTTTAGTCCCAACGTACCTGCCAGAAATAAAATGTCTTCCTGGCGTGCGCAGGGGTGAAGGCGAGGGCGTGCTGGAGAGTCAGCCCCGTGCAGTCCCCCAGCATCACTACGCCCGAGATGCACGCCCCCTCATCCTCTTGCATCAAGATGTCGAATATGATCCCCACGCCTCTAATCACCTCGTCCATGCTCAGCTCATTAGGGTCGTAGATGCCCCAGCGGCCAAGTAACACCTTACGTCCCAGGTGGTCATACCCAGGCAGGGGCAGCATCACACTGTAATGCCCCGGGACATTTTTTTCATGCTAATTACTGGGGGGAAATGTTGACCCACAAATACATAATTTATATAACCCATCTTGAAGCAAAACAAGCCAGTCTAATTCTCACGAATCTGAAGGAACAACATTCGAGGAAGGAGCTGAAGGAACCACATGTGGTTATACCCAGATGTTTCTCAGTGTGGCTATACCCAGATGTTTCTCAGTGGGGTTATACCCATATGTTTCTCAGTGTGGTTATACCCAGATGTTTCTCAGTGTGGCTATACCCAAATGTTTCTCAGCAATGGACGAGCACCAAAATAACATCCCACTAATTGACACATCCACACCAACAAACACAAAGATGTTACAGCTAACATAGCCTTTAGCTGTGATACGAATTGTGTAGACCTTGAAAATGATGTATTAAGGACTGTAATTCAGTAAGGGTTAATGGATTCACGTGATATACTTTTACCCAGGAGCTCTCATAGAAACACAAACGACTCTAACTGGAATTGCCTTTTCTCTATTCTAATCTGATCGTAAACCACTCAAACTAAACTCATCATCTACCCGCAGTAGATAAGTAGACTCTAGACTTCATCTTATGAAGATGATAACCTTGCATTGTTTCTTAATGATTTGAGGCAAGAAAAAGGAAAACTTGCCCCGCCTATTACAGACATGAAAGGCAAGAGATGGATAAAGAAGACGAGTTTACCATGGGAAATAAACCATACTATACTCCGTTGCAATGGGAATACAGAGAATACAAAATGTTCATACAGGGAAGAAATCATCCCATTCACCTATACTCTCAGCAGCCTCTCCATATTGTGATAAAAAATATTACTGGTGGTGTGAATAATCTTACTGAACGAGCCGGGATATACAGATGAATTGCACGGCATTCATACCTCCGATGCAGGGAATTATGCAATAAATTACCAAGTAACACAATATGCATTGGATCGCTGGATTGTTTCAAGCGTAGGTTAGACATATATATGAATAAGTTTGCATGGATATATATATAATAGGAGCTGCCTCGTATAGGCCAATATAGGCCTTAAGTAGTTTCATGGATTCTTATGTTATGTTGTCGCAATTAAAACCAAAAAAAAAAAATACATCCGCTAAAATTTCAGTCTTCCAGTCTTACTGAGACGAAGATGACGACAAGGACACGTGGTTCACACCTGCCATATAGTCATAGCCTTCTTGACGAGGGCCGGGGTCATCTGCATGCCGTGAGCAGGGGTAACACCTGCCAAGTCCAACACCTGTACCACGCCTGATAGTGACATCTGCTCATCTTCAATCCACAGGATGTCGCTGATGAAGTGTGTCGCCTTGAACACCTCGTCCATGGTGGTGGTCTTGGGGTCGTGCAGGCCTGTACGGATGATAACCACTTTCCGTCCTTGGTTATCGTAGCCAGGCAGCGGCAGGAACATGCTGGAGAACGGCATCACCTTCGTCAGTCTTCATTAGATACTTGCAGGCGTGCCTTACTCTACAAACTTATTGTAAGTCCGCCTGGATCATTACTTACAATGCACACTTATTATCCACCACACAGATGAGTACAATTAGGTGAGTATGCACTCACCACTTCTGGCTTACATCAGTCCACACTGGACACACACACACACACACACACACACACACACACACACACACACACACACACACACACACACACACACACACACACACACACATATACACACATTTGCGGGACCAAAGAGCCAGAGCTCAACCCCCGCAAACACAACTAGGTGAGTACACACACACACACACACTGCATTAGGCTTAGGATGTGATGGAGGCTGACTCCATACACAGTTTCAAATGTAGATATGATGGAGCCCAGTAGGCTCAGACACGTTTACATCAGTTGATTGACTATTGAGAGGCGGGACCAAAGAGCCAGAGCTCAACCCCCGCAAGCACAAATAGATGAGTACAAATAGGTGAGTACACACACAAATTAGGTGAGTACACTCTCTCTCTCTCTCTCTCTCTCTCTCTCTCTCTCTCTCTCTCTCTCTCTCTCTCTCTCTCTCTCTCTCTCTCTCTCTCTCTCTCTCTCTCTCTCTCTCTCTCTTTCTCTCTCTCTCTCTCTCTACTGCTTGTCTCCAATCATTGATTGACCACCGCACGGATAAATACTACACAGCTTCAGCCGGATTGTGATGTATATGTAAGTTTGCGGACGGCGAACACAAATAACCAGGTGGATCAAGACGCACCAGGAGAGCCAGGTCCCAGGCAGGACTGCGAAAGTAAACCAACTACCTAATTCAATCAGTAGGAAGCATGTAATACGCTCCACACCATCACTCTCCCTCGTCAGCCCTCATCTCTCTCCCACGCTAATTCTACATCGCCCATACTAATTTTACAGCACACACACATGCTAGCTAAACCACACACACCCACGTTAAATACAGCTCACTCAAGCTAGCAATACAACACAGCATGATAACTATAAAACACACCCACGCTAACTCACCAGCACGCCCACGTTAACTCAACTACACAATCACAGTTCTTTAAATTAGCATTACAATAAATTAAATATTCAATAAATGAACGCATTTCCACCACAACCTTCCCAAAACAGAAAACAAAAGCATAAGACTGCACACAAATATGCAAAAACACAAGACTCAACACGATACAAAAACAGAAGTAAACACAATGACAAAAATAACAAAAACAGCATGTAAAATCTAAACACACACAAAAATAGTAGAACAAAATTTTGGTAACTGATATAATTCATTTTTACTAATCAATTAAAGAAGCAAATCGAAGCGTATATATATATATATATATATATATATATATATATATATATATATATATATATATATATATATATATACATTGAAATTGAAATAAGTTTATTGATGTAAAATACACACAAAGGGATGAGGTAGCTCAAGCTATTCTCACCCCCGTTCAGTACATCGTGTTAATACATACATAGACACACACACACACACATATATATATATATATATATATATATATATATATATATATATATATATATATATATATATATATATATATATATATATATATATATATTATATGTGTGTGTGTTGTATTCTTAATTGGTTAATAAAAATGAATTATATAAATATGTATTATTAATCAATCAATAATTATTTAAAGTATGGCATTCTTTGGACACTACTTTTATGAATAAAAATTCTGATCACTATTATTAGTATCACTTTACAATAAAATATTAAAACAGAGCAAAACTTACCCCAGCTCAAGGATGGCTCTCATCTTCTTGTCCTGCGGGTCGCGGTTCTTGTACCACTCCGGACAGAGAGACTTACAGGTGTAGAACATGTCTAGCTTCTCCTTGGTTCGTTGCAGGGAGAACTTGCACCCCCGTAGGAACCTCAAGATGGTCCAGTCATCTGTCGACATTAACCAGTGGTGAGTGGTGAAGAACAAGGTGCCTCGATCACCCCCAGTGGTAGAAGGACAAGAATAGGGTCCCACGTTCTCCCATCAGTGGTGTGGGTGAGAAAGTGCCTTCACTCACCCACCAGTGGTGTGGATGAACAACAAGGTCACTCGTAAATTTATCTCCTTATTTCGGTAGTTTTTGGCAAACATTTTGCTGTACTCAGCAAACTTTGGGAAATTGAAATTGTTCAACTGTGGATCATGTGAGCTTCATCAATCTCATTTTTAGTATTTGCTTCTCTAGGGATTACATGTTTCTGTGGATTTTTATTATATCCGAATTTATTATTATGAATATATTGACAATAACGTATTCCAGCCCGACCAATGGCACTCTTATATCCATCTATTGTATAGTAATAATTGTATTACGGACCCCTATAATTAATTTTCACCCGTATAATTCATTTGCAATTAATTTATTACGGACGGCTATAATTCGTTTTCGTGGTGGTGGAAAATATACAGCACCATAATGGGTTTAGAAACTGGACCCTCGTGATACATAAAGTAAGCAATTAGCATTTGGCCTGAACTAAATTCGCATGCAGGCGATGAGTCACAATAACGTGGCTAAAGTATGTTGACTAGACCACACACTAGAAGGTGAAGGGACGACGACGTTTCGGTCCGTCCTGGACCATTCTCAAGTCGATTGTCCCAAGATTGACTGTCGAAGACAATCGACTTGAGAATGGTCCAGGACGGACCGAAACGTCGTCGTCCCTTCACCTTCTAGTGTGTGGTCTGGTCAACTGAACTAAATTCGTCCAACATTTCCATTCACCTGGGTTGTAGGAGTCTCGAACCGTGGACCCCACACGTGTGAGCCCCAAGCTCTATCGACTCTTTGCCCAGTCGATAAAGCGCCGGTGGGAAAGTAATAGTCACACCATGAGCTTAAGAAGTGAATGCTCTACCTGTCGATATTTGGCTTTGACTTTGGGTAATATAAATTTTTGTATCACACATTTGGACAGTTCTTGTAAACGAGTGAAAGAGTCCACTCGCAGTTCTTGATTTTTATATATATATATAATTAGACAGTGACTTGTGGTATGGAAATAAATTTGTCTAAACCTTTCATATTCGGTTAGATTTACATCAGCAGTTGGTGCAGTACTCGAGACTAAGCCGAAGAGAAGTAATATCTAACAGTCTCATTTATTGGTGCAATAAATGAGATAGCGCAATAGTATGCGCTACAAATTCTTACCTCTATCTTAGATATTTATGGATATCTAAGTGGTATTTCCTCTTTTAGTTAATCAGATCTGTTTATAAGGTAGACTCACCAATCCTAGCCAAGACTCGACTATCCCAACCATGACTCGACTCTCCAAGTCAAGACTCGCCTATCCTAGTCAAGACTTCCTTATTCAAGCCAAAACTTACCCATTATAGCCCAGATTAGTCTTTTTTTTTTAGCTGTGATGCGCCTAATATACCCATGGAGCGCCTAACATACCCATAGGAGAGCCTAACATACCCATGGGGCGCCTAACATATCCATGGGGGCGCCTAACATACCCATGGGGGCGCCTAACATACCCATGGGGGCGCCTAACATACCCATGGGGGCGCCTAACATACCCACGGGGGCGCCTAACATATCCATGGGGGAGCCTAACATACCCATTGGGGCACCTAATATACTCACGGGGGCGCCAAACATACTCATGGGGGCGCCTAACATACCCATGGGGCGCCTAACACACCCATGGGGCGCCTAACACACCCACGGGGGAGCCTAACATACCCATGGGGGCACCTTACATACCCATGGGGGCACCTAACATACCCATGGGGGCGCCTAACATACCCATGGGGCGCCTAACATACCCATGGGGGCACCTAACATACCCATGGGGGCGCCTAACATACCCATGGGGGCACCTAACATACCCATGGGGGCGCCTAACATACCCACGGGGGCGCCTAACATACCTACGGGGGCGCTGACATTGGAGACTAACCTGTCCTGGCCCTGATGTGCGGCTGGTGTTTAAGCCAGTCTCTGATGTGTTCGATATCAGCAGCGCGCCTGGCGGGGTCCTCGTTGATCTCCTCCTTGGCTCGCTGCTGGAGCTCCTTGCTCAGCGTACACACGTATTCGCCCACCATCGTCCACAACTCCGACTGCAAAACAAGAGGGCGGGATAGTTATTGCACGGACCACAGAGCAATCCACACAGCATAAACCACAGAGCAATATGGAGTTTGCGTCAACTATCTCACCCGTTATAGCACTACCGACTGAGCCTGGAGAGTCCTGGGATGCATCCCATTGTATAGTGTTAATACCTTATCATACAAGCATATGTTAAGTCACACAGACGCTCCATATTGCACTAGACAGTTTAAGAGGAGGTCCTCTTGAGGTTACAAGATAAGGCGTTGAGAACATGATGCTGTATTATCACGCCGAGTCCGTGGACTCTGAGACGGTCCAACAACTACTTCAACGTCCCAGTGTTCTCACGGTCACATTTTACGTCACTATTGACGAAAAATATCATGCTAGAAAACGTGAATTTCCAGTGTGGCATCTGTTTGAACATTGTCGTATTTCATATTGGAGAGATGGTTGCGTGTGGTTGCCGACAATCTGGACAGTGGTTCAATTCCCATGTCACTTTTTAAAAATGTTTCTGACTATATATATGTACTTTCATGAAGACTTAGAGCGAGGATGCAAACATTTCAATGGATACGTCAGAAAGATATGACATGTACCGCTTTGTATTCTGGTAGTAAACTGTATGTATTTGGTATTTAGAGTTTGTAATTTGCCATTCCGACCTGTGTAATTAGTGATGGTTCTGTAACAGGCCCTCCAGAGCTGCCTATCCAGGATTAGAACACCCCAAAAGCCGACACAAAAGAGGGACTTCTTTATCCATCACGACATCCACTCCACTATCCATCACAACTGCCACTCCATCATCCATCACCTCCCTCCCCCATATAGGACCACCCCCTTCCAGGATTGTGGTAAGAAAGAGACACATTATAATATACAAGTATATTACATATTATAAGGCACAAGTATAATTTATACTTGGACAAATATTCGACGGAAAGGTTCCAATCCTCGAAAAACTCCTCAAGAGATCAGGAGAAAAAGGCATAATGTGCAAAATAGCCAGATTGAAAAGTTTGAGTGATGTAAATAAGAGACAATTTTATTATAATTAACGGCCTAAAGGATACTTAGCTGACCGTTTTCTACGTTCAAGAGGGAGCTTGAAAAAACTCCTTCAAATTGTATCAATACCTGATCAACCGGGCTGTGATTCCTGTCATACAGTGTGCAACAGCGTCCGACAGCTTGGTTGACTACTCATTATTACAGCCTACCTGCTACAGAAGGCGGAGAAGGGCAAACTTAACTATTAAAGCAGGAGGTGGAGAACCTCACTTACCTGCTAGATGAGCACGAGGAATGAGAGTGGCTCAGTCACCTGAGCACCACCCCATTACACCCCCCCCCTCCCCCTTCCCTCTCTCCATCCCTCCTTCCCTCTCCCTCCCCTCTATCCTCCCTCCCTCCCTCCCTGACTATCCCAACACCGGTTGTCCTCTTTACATAACGGATATACCCCCCGCAAAACCCCCCTTCCCTTTTCCTGGGACAGGTGAGACGCTCCACGGAGGCCTATCCTCCGCTCCATATCGTTTTCATCCAACATTTTAACCTTGGCCTATGAAAGAGATTTCTCGTATAAAACTGCGCATGTCCCTCACTTTCGTGCATAATTATCGACTCTCATCATCCACGTCCTTGAAGAACGAAAGTCTATGGATTTGGACGATACTGAATGAACCGCGACAATATGGAGGTAATCAGAAGATAGTGTTATCGTGGGGGTATTTTGTGAAGCAGCTATCATGGGGCCTCCAAGGCCAGCAGCCATACTCCCACACATGATGTAAATCATCTCATCCTACACACTAACAACCATTGCATGTAAATGCAATATAAAGTTTCGTATAAATATACATATATACATATATGTAAATATATATTTCCTTCACCTTGGGCACTAAACCTCTAACACCTGACCTCCAACATGGGGAGACAGACAGATCAACAGCGCTACTGGGCAAGCCTTGAAAGGGAAGGATTCCATGGCAACTGCTACCCAATAGAAGTTATCATGGGATTGGCTGCCACTCCAGCACAGGAGAATTAGGTAATCCACGCCTTAGGTCATATAAACTGTTTACCACACAGTATATCATTATATAAATCTATCACCTCAGAACTAGCCAATTACACCTCCTCTCCCTCCCTTCCCCTCCATCCACCCCTCCCCTTTCCCTATATATATATATATATATATATATATATATATATATATATATATATATATATATATATATATATATATATATATATATATATATATATATATATATATTTATTGGTGTATACTGGCAGCAGGTTTTCTTTCAAACATGTTTCATTGAATATGACCGCATATTCTGTATTTATTATTTTCTGGTTTAGGGCTTCTATCCCTCTAACTACTTTCTTAGCATCAGGGCTTAATTGAAATAGGAGTTCTCCAAAACTCATTTTCGTACTTTTAAGGTGAAGAAAAGAAGTGATTTACTATAGAGTGTATTACACTTATTTGTATAATTTGCACGACGTTTCGAACCTCCATGGTTCATTCTCAAGTGAACAGATCTTACAATACTAGTTGATTTTATACCCGCATTAGGTCAGGTGATAATACAATGAAGGTGAAAACATGGGGGGATACATTAGGGATAAACATAGGGGCTGCAGAAGGCTTATTGGCCCATACGAGGCATCTCCTATCTAAACACAAAGATTAATCCAGTGTAATTGGCCTGTTATGTTGGACATTGTCTTCTGTGTTGGCATCGATATGTTCTTGTCTTGTCCTTACTCTCATGGTGGGTAGAGTAAATAGTTCCGTGATTTGGGTGTTCATGGTAGGTCGCTCTATTCTTATGTGAATTGCCTCAAGAATTTGTAATCTTCTTGAATCTTGGGTTTTATCTATTATGCAAGTATTCTGACCAAGCTGACGAGGCGTTTGACATGCCATCTTCAATCTGGTGCCCCTAGGAATCACATGAGACAAGCCCATGACATTACTCTAACAAGAGAAATGTTGAACAAGAATACTTGCATAATAGATAAAACCCAAGATTCAAGAAGATTACAAATTCTTGAGGCAATTCACATAAGAATAGAGCGACCTACCATGAACACCCAAATCACGGAACTATTTACTCTACCCACCATGAGAGTAAGGACAAGACAAGAACATATCGATGCCAACACAGAAGACAATGTCCAACATAACAGGCCAATTACACTGGATTAATCTTTGTGTTTAGATAGGAGATGCCTCGTATGGGCCAATAAGCCTTCTGCAGCCCCTATGTTTATCCCTAATGTATCCCCCCATGTTTTCACCTTCATTGTATTATCACCTGACCTAATGCGGGTATAAAATCAACTAGTATTGTAAGATCTGTTCACTTGAGAATGAACCATGGAGGTTCGAAACGTCGTGCAAATTATACAAATAAGTGTAATACACTCTATAGTAAATCACTTCTTTTCTTCACCTTAAAAGTACGAAAATGAGTTTTGGAGAACTCCTATTTCAATTAAGCCCTGATGCTAAGAAAATAGTTAGAGGGATAGAAGCCCTAAACCAGAAAATAATAAATACAGAATATGCGGTCATATTCAATGAAACATATATATTTATATATATATATATATATATATATATATATATATATATATATATATATATATATATATATATATATATATATGTCGTACCTAGTAGCCAGAACGCACTTCTCTGCCTACTATGCAAGGCCAGATTTGCCTAATAAGCCAAGTTTTAATGAATTAATTGTTTTTCGACTACCTAACCTACCTAACCTAACCTAACCTAACTTTTTCGGCTACCTAACCTAACCTAACCTATAAAGATAGGTTAGGTTAGGTTAGGTAGGGTCGGTTAGGTTTGGTCATATATCTACGATAATTTTAACTCCAATAAAAAAAAATTGACCTCATACATAATGAAATGGGTAGCTTTATCATTTCATAAGAAAAAAATTATAGTAAATATATTAATTCAGGAAAACGTGGCTTATTAGGCAAATCGGGCCTTGAATAGTAGGCTGAGAAGTGAGTTCTGGCTACTAGGTACGACATATATATATATATATATATATATATATATATATATATATATATATATATATATGTGAGTGTTAGACTATGTAGGAAGAATTGAAACAGGAATTTCCTTAAGTACTTTCGTATATTAATACATCTTCAGAAGAAATGTATTAATTCCTTCTGAAGATGAATTGAACCCTCTCCAGTTTAGTCTTATGCTTGACGAGATATGGACTCACATGGTCTGACATGTGGTATACAAAGTTCTGAATAATTCATTTCACAAGTTTTTAAATGCCGTTTTTATGTTGGCCAACCTGGCATATGCCGCTGATGTTGTCCTCTTGATATGGGCTTAAAGGGACAGGTCTGGCGTGATATAAACCCCTAGGTCATGTGTGTGTGTGTTTGACTGTCTGTTTTTTTTTTTTTTTTAAGGTGGAGGCCAGATGCTTGGTGCCTACATTGACTACAAGCGCCGCACAGAGGAGGAGTCACAATAACGTGGTTGAAAAATGTTGTCCAAACCACACACCAGAAAGTGAAGAGACGACGACGTTTCGGTCGGTCCTGGACCCTTATCAAGTCGATTGTGTCATTATTCAAGTCACAATCGACTTGATAATGGTCCGAAACGTCGTTGTGTCTTCACTTTATAGTGTCTTAAATCACTTTATAGTATCTTAAAGCGCCGAAAAACTTATGTTTTCGAACTAATGCGTATCGACTTATGAAGGCTATGCGGATTATTTGTCTGTTAATTTCTCTGGTTTGGCAATATCACTTCAAATTAGACGCTCTGCTTCTACCTGATGGAGCCAGGTAGAGGCCGACCGTCATATTCCTCCTGGAAAGGTGGACCCTGCCTTCCCTGCCTAGCTCCACCTCTCCCTGCTGACAACATCCCCATCCTGCCTTCATGCCTGGCCCCCTCCTTCCATGAGGGGAGGGCAGACGCGGCGCTCCAGCTGGTAAGAGTCAGGACGGATGACTCAGTGTGTCGCTGGAACTAACAGACACCGGACGTCGTCTTCCAGGTAAGAAAGTTTCCCGCCCCATGTTAAATTTTGGTTGCTACAGTATAGTCAATGGTTTATAATATACTCAAAGTGATTGACAGAGACGGAGGAGCCCGTGTTTGTTGTGATTTATTAATTATTTTGATGTCATCGTCGTAAAATATAGTTTCCTTTGTCATTGCGAAAAAAGGTGGTTTTGTCAAACACTAAAATTTGTCTAGGAATATTCTTGAAGTTTAACAGTAAACACCGATGGGTGTCATAGGCGGCTAATGGAATTAAATTCCAGAATTAAAATGGCTTCACTGGAAGAAGAGGGGGAGACCCAATCCAGCGCTTCCGGTAGCTCGCTGGAGGAGATCACCTTAGTGTCAGTGAAGGTGGGCTGGTTCTACTTCAACCCCGTCTCCAGGAAGGGTCGCGCCCTTCACCTTCTTCAGGTGTGTTGACTATGATGTGTTGTGGTACGTTTATGTCACTGTCATTAGAATGAAGAACTCAATTGTACATTCATTTGTCAATTGTCCACTACAGTAGCCTCATTTGCCGTCTTGTTTATACCCTTATAATTAACAAATGTTCCCTTGTAATTGTATTAATTTTCTCGTGGTCACCTTCTATTAGAGTCATTAACATCCTCAGAGATCCCTCCATTATTCAATTGTAACATTATCTTGACCACGTGTTATCAAAGGGTTGGCTGTTCACACGTACCACCGTACGTTCTCCACTTAGAGGCCGGACCAAAGAGCCGAAGCTCAACCCCCGCAAGCACAACTAGTTGAGTACTTGGAATTAGGGTATTCACTGAAGTTATTTCTACATTGTCTGGTTTGTAGCACATTGGCACTGTTTCAATGTGGAATCTCTTATCAAGATGATTATTCCACTATCTCGACTTCTACCCGAAGGAAATTTTAGCAGAGACTACCCAACCACTTGTACTAGTCAATACAGCGGAGGCCTCGCTTCTTGCAGGTCGGCGTTCAATTCCCGACGGTCCAAATGGTTGGGCACCATTCTGTCCCTCCGGCCAATCCCAGATCCTTGTCCTCAAATTCCCTTCCAAGTGCTATTTTGGCTTAGCGCTTTCTCCTCATAATTCCCGTATTAATTATGGTTTTATCTAACTTGATATCTGTCGCTGCTACAATATCTGTTGCTTTTTATTGTTATCAAATTCCTTGATTGTAATTGTTGGGAGGACGTCCTAAATATTTCAAGAAAACACTTGTATACATATATTTACCTCAGTGTGGAAAGTTTAATGCTTCGTAATTCCTGCTGGGCTTCTGTGTGAAAAACTTTTCTCTTCTTTACCATATTTTCATTGAATTGTTTAAGCTTTGTTATTGTTTTCATGATCATTGCCCTTTCTTCCTTTAACAGATCTTTCTCAATCGTCAGTCTCTAACAAACGTTCCCTTTTTCTTCTGGTGCGTCTTGATGACACACACCTGTCACTGCGTCTTAAAACACACTTCTATTACTGCGTCTTACTGACACACACACATCTGTCGCTGCGTCATGCCACCACACTTCTGTTGCTGCGTTTTACTGACACACACACACATCTGTCGCTGCGTCATGCCACGACACTTCTGTCGCTGCGTCTACCTGATCCAATGTATTAACCTTGCGTCACAGATGTTGGTGTTGCCGTTCATCCCCATCGTGGCTCTCATCACCCAGAACTGCATTGCCATGTCTGACGCCCTCAGGAACCAGGCCGCCGTCAGCTCAGTGACCGTCCAGGTGCGTCTTTCTCCCATGTCTCTCATATTCTCTCTTCCAGGTGTTTCTTTAAGCACGTATTTCTTATATGCATATTCAGGTGTATGAGATGTAGAAGAAATATTTCAAAGGTAATTGAAAAATGATCATTATAGGGGCTAGTGACTGAAGCTAGTAACTGGCTTACCTTCCAGTCTCCAGTGAAAGAACTGGTGAGTGTGTCTTCCTAATAAAGGTAGTGGCGTCTTGAGGGTGAACTTTCCAGTCGCTGGTGATTTGATGGAATTCTTTCCAGTCACCCAAGATGGTGCTGGTGATTGGATGTAGTGTTTTCCAATCACTAAAGCAAGGGCTGGGGATTGAAAAGAATTATTTCCGGTCACCAGTGAAGGTATTTGTGACTGAAGAATATGGCTTCCAGTAGGTTCAACACGCGGTTGACATCGGCTTGCTGCTGCGGGCGCTCCAGCTGGAACGAACCGAGCTCTGCTACTATGTCCTCTCCAACGCTTCCAGCACCCTCAGGTGGGTTCTTCCAGTGAAGCCACCCTCCAGCAAACTCAGGTAGGTTAGCCTCAGGTGGGTTACCCTCCAGCTCCCTCAAGGAGGTCACCTTCGATAACATTCAAGTGCGCTCCTCCAGTCGAGTCACCATCCAACACACTCAGGCGATTCACTCCAGCTGGGACACCCTCTGTCATCCTCAAGTGGGTCACCCTTCAACAGGGTCATCCTCCAGCACCCTATGATGAATCGTTTCTGAGGGACTCAGGAATTTGCATGCATGCATGTGTGTGTGTGTGTGTGTGTGTGTGTGTGTGTGTGTGTGTGTGTGTGTGTGTGTGTGTGTGTGTGTGTGTGTGTGTGTGTGTGCGCGTGTGAAGGGAGCACGGAACACCATCATTGCTTATACTGACACTTACGCTCGACAGGATGAACATCACTAACGTGTACGAACGGACGAACGACGTCATCGAGGGGGTGCAGCGCTGGCCCAACATTCAGAGGAACAGAAAACGTAGCCGGATGTTCCAGTCACGGGTCCGGTTCCAGATCCGTCTCCAAGACTTTAGGTGAGCGGGCGACTGGTGACTAAAACCACACTCTGGTTTTTAGGATGATTTTTGCAAATCTTCAATTAACTTTTGTCAAATTTAGGCGAAATAATTTGCTCGCAACAAAGTTGTTATGGTATATTGGACTAAGATTAAGTCCATTAAGTCGATTAAGGCAGCGTCTGGGATGCTCTCGGACGTAGGTTCGAACCCTCGTCACGGCTCTTGTGGATTTGTTCATGGTATATTGGTATGCGAGTGTCAGAAAGAGTGTATCCATATTCAATTAGCCATAAATAACGTTGTACGTACAATCGTTTTGTCAGTTACTGGCCTACGGTGCTTAACCTCATAGCCCGAATTATGATATACATGCGTAATATATTTGTTTATGCCATCCCCTAGACGAAAAAATCCACTAGCAAGAGATTATTTCTGTATCAACGGATCCAGCTATTTAGACTGCATGGCATTTGATCTCCAATGGTCCAAGTGCTTGGGCACCATTCCTTACCTTCGTTTATCCCCATTTTCTAGTCCTTCCAAAGGCTACATATGCAAAACTCGAATGAAAATAATATTAGAGAGATACAAGCGTGATTTTGATGGCGTATTGAACACGTATGATGACTTAGATGTTCACGTTGCTAGAATTGTAAGAGGCAACATAATGAGGCAACTTGGAATGTTGAATGTGTCTGAACGCGTATGTGGCTGTTGCAATGATCAATGAACGATGTTAGAACGTCATATTCTGACGCTACCAGTGTAGAACAAAAGTATCCTGACGATACCAGTGTAGAACAAGAGTATCCTGACTCTACCAGTGTAGAACAAAAGTATCCTGACGATACCAGTGTAGAACAAGAGTATCCTGACTCTACCAGTGTAGAACAAAAGTATCCTGACTCTACCAGTGTAGAACAAGAGTATCCTGACTCTACCAGTGTAGAACAAGAGTATCCTGACTCTACCAGTGTAGAACAAGAGTATCCTGACTCTACCAGTGTAGAACAAAAGGCTCCTGACGATACCAGTGTAGAACAAGAGTATCCTGACTCTACCAGTGTAGAACAAAAGTATCCTGACGATACCAGTGTAGAACAAAAGGCTCCTGACGATACCAGTGTAGAACAAGAGTATCCTGACGATACCAGTGTAGAACATGAGTATACTGGCGCTACCAATGTAGGGAAAAAAAGAGTATCCTGACAACAACAATAATACCTTATTAAGGACCACCTTACCAATACCTCGCGTCCAATACACAGTCACGCAAGGACCATATAATCTTCCATGTGACCTTTCTTCCTCATGGCTTCACTGACTACATAGTCGTCCCGTAATTAGGTAGTGAAATATCTCAGATATTCCAATCATAATCAGTAATTTGAATGCCATATTCTATAATAAAAAAAAGACCTTTTACTTATTCTGGAAGAATTTACTTTGTTCTTGGATGGGCGTAAGATTGTTTACTTGTAATTATTATTATAGAGTCGTTACGACCTCTGCTAGTAGTCACAGTACAATATATAGGCTGTCAACGACCTCTACTATAGTTACAGTACTTCATATATAGGCAGTCAACGACCTCTGTTAGCAGTTACAGTACAATATAGGCAGTCAACGACCCCTGTTAGCAGATACAGTACAATATAGGCAGTCAACGACCTCTGTTAGTGGTCACAGTACAATATAGGCAGTCAACGACCTCTGCTAGCAGTTACAGTACAATATAGGCAGTCAACGACCTCTGTTAGTGGTCACAGTACAATATAGGCAGTCAACGACCTCTGTTAGTGGTCACAGTACAATATAGGCAGTCAACGACCTCTGCTAGCAGTTACAGTACAATATATGACATACGATCTCCTGCAGGGACTCCATCGACCCTCTAGAGACCCACGTGACGAAGGTGGTGTCGTGGTACAATGAGGCCAACTTTATCTTGCTGAGCGTGCTCGTCTCTACCATCAACACCGCCGACGCCTCAAATATATGGCAGTAAGTGTAGCCAACACCGGGATACACTCGCTGACAGATGCTCCTAGTTTCTCAGTGTACATATACTGAGAGTTTACCTTAGTGCTGAATTATGTTCAGGACGAAAGAGTTGTTGGAAGGTTGGTAAGCTCTTCTTTTGGCCTTAATAATCCTCCCGTGGTTGATAACTCGAGCATAACTACCAAACCACCACCTCAATTCCTCTCGCTATATATTGTAGATTCATCTACGTGGTTAACGTGTATGTATTTTCATTTATTATTATTATTATTATTATTTTTAATTATACTGTATATTGAACCATCCATTTTTTATTTTAACCCATACAGGTGGTAACATTGGTTAGAGTCATTATACGAAATTATGAGATGTCTTTAAACAAATAATAAGAGATTTATAAAGGATATAGTACGTAAATATTGCAACAGCCTTGGATAGAGAGTTAATCCTCCAGTGGCGGATTAACTAGTTGGGGTTAAAGGTGGATTCCCATGATAAACGACACTGTCCAATAACCGAGCCATTAAGGGCTTAGCATATGTCTTCGGATTTTACGCTTTATAATATATTAAATATACAAAAGCGTAAGAATAAAGTGGAATACCGCACTGATCAGTGGAACAATAACACACCGGGCCTCTCTTCAGCAGTGGAAAACGTGTTTACAAAAGTGAGTTTGTTTCTTAATTTTCTTGTTGACAGCGAGTGAAAATGTTCACAATTTAGTTAACTTACATTTTCAAAGCGAGTGACCATCTCCGACAGGACCCTGGTCGCCTACCAGAACGTGATGCAGTGTGAAGAACAATTCGGAATCTCGCTGGTGTACGGGGCAGCCTACTACCTGCGGGGCTGGCTGGATAGCAAGAGCTACCTCACCTGGGTCGAGTCGACGGCCCTGGCGGGCTACTGGCTAAACCAGACCCTTGCCTTGTCTCCAAGCATACACCACCGCCTCCGTAAGAAAGGTTTCCTCACTGAACTGGCCAAGAGGATCACCGAGAGGTTGGTGCCTTGTTTGTGTTGATCAGTGGGAGGCTTTTGTTATTGTTTAGTAATTATTTGTTTATTTAATAATAATATGATTTGTTAATTTATATTTAAGAAAGTAGACGTGGAATCGCTTGATTGTTTCAAGCGTTGGTTAAACATATAAATGCACGAGTCTGGGTGGATACAAATTGGACCGGCTTAGTATGGGCCAATAGGTCATTAGCTGTTCCCTTTATTCTTATGCTCTTATTTTTATTTACATATTGCTATTACATTTTCTCGTATATAAACAACTTGATAATATTTTTCCATTACAAACCTCTCACATCCATGCTTTTCAGAGCAATAAAATCTGTTTATCGCTCCTATGAGGAAGGAAACTAGAGGTGCTTCGCTTCTTTTTTATGTAGGCGTACCTTTTTCTCCGTAGGGATGACATCATCGGCAACAAGAAGAGAAACGGCTCGGTAGAGGCTGCCGACGTCTTCATGCAGGAGAGCACAGCCTTCAAGAACTCCATCAGAGGTGTAGAAGCCTCTCTTATCGACGATATCAGGTTAGGTTTGTACTAGGATAGGCTAGGTTAATTTCGTGTTAGATTAGGTTCCTATTAGGCTAGATTGGGTTATATTCGTATTTGGATAGGTTAAAGTTATATTATTTTGGTGTTAGGATAAGTTCGTATTAGATTAAGTTAGATTAGGAGAGGTTTTATTTCCCACAGAAAAATATGTGTTGCACCCTTCCTCACAGAGGAGTAAAGTGACACATTGGACCCTCCACAGACAATCAACGTAAGGCGTTCAATCCCCCCAAAAGAGAAGTGATGTATCTCCTTAAACCCCCACCAGTCATCCAGCAAAGTTTGGTAAAGTTACGCCTTACCCCCAAGTCCTTATACTAATGCAGAGGGATTACAAGTCTCTGTACCCTCTGACAGAGACGCCATCAACGGGGAGCTGGAAGTGGCGGACGGACAGTACACTTTGGCGTTGGTGGTGTTACTCCTCGTCCTCCTGATCTCCCCCGTTATCATCGTCCTCGTCAGGAAGGCCACCAGCCTCATCCATGTGAGTGAGAGGGAAAGGAAGTGAGAGGGGTAATGGCAGTACACAAGGCTGCAGGGAGGTGAGAGCAGCATTGTGTGCGTGTTTGGTGGTTATTCAGAGTCTGAATTCTCATTTTCTTCCTGAACATGAAAAAGAAAGGAAAGCTACTTGGGATTCAGAGTCAGATACGCGGTGAAAGATTTCAACTCTTACCTTAATCCATTGCTTTCACCCCCAGCCTTCACCCCTCAGCCTTCAACCCCAACCTTCACCTGCCCTCAACTCTCCCCTTCCCCACCAGGTGTACGCCTTCGATTTGCTACTAAGATCTGCCGAAGTGAAGAAGGAAAAGCGAAAAAGTGACAACCTTCTGTATCAGCTCCTGCCTCGCACCGTCGCCCACTATCTCAAGCAGTCCAAGCAGGTACCTCACCCGCCTCTACCACAAGCATGTACCTCACACCCCTCTACCACAAGCAGGTACCTCACCCGCCTCTACCACAAGCAGGTACCTCACACCCCTCTACCACAAGCAGGTACCTCACACCCCTCTACCACAAGCATGTACCTCATCTAACCCCCCCCCTTCCCCCTATCACAAGCAGGTACCTCACACCCCCTCTACCACAAGCAGGTACCTCACACCCCCTCTACCACAAGCAGGTACCTCACACCCCCTCTACCACAAGCAGGTACCTCACACCCCCTCTACCACAAGGAGGGCCATACTTATTCCTAGGCAGGATCTCACTTACTGTGTAAATGTTGTGATAATTTGTTGCTAGCAGGGCCATACATATTACTAGTATGGTTACACTTAATGCTGTGAGGGTAATAGTAATGTACGGGGCTACGACTTCTTGCCCTTCCTGCAGGTTCCAGCTGAATATTTCGAGTCTGTGACGATCTACCTGAGTGACATCGTGGGCTTCACTCGCATCTCCTCTGAGAGCAGTCCGCTACAGG